ACTGTTGGCAGTTGACTGCAGACCAAAGACAGTTTCTCCTACCATACAGCAGGTCCTACTTTCACGTGACCCATTTATTTATTTCTTTATTTATTTATTAATGTTTATTTATTTTTGAGACCGAGAGAGAGCATGAACGAGGGAGGGGCAGAGAGAGAGGGAGACACAGAATCTGAAGCAGGCTCCAGGCTCTGAGCCGTCAGCCCAGAGCCCGACGTGGGGCTCGAACTCACGGACTGTGAGATCATGACCTGAGCCAAAGTCGGACGCTTAACCGACTGAGCCACCCAGGCGCCCCTCACGTGACCCATTTAATTTTGCTCCTTCATGGTAACCAAGGTGGTGGGTACTTCAAAGGGCAAAGATAGAAAGGGAACAAATCCCATTTTTTCTACGCTAAAAATATAGCATCAGCCACGAGTGCAAACCCTAACTCACTGTGTGCTGAGGAGCCGTGCTAACTGGAGAGTTCTTCTCCATCTGGCTGCTCACACTACCACTCTCCTCCCCTGACAGCCTTGCTGGGTCTGTGAGCTTTACTCGTTGTCTGATGAGAGCGATGGCCAAGTGGAGATACGTCTCTAGAAACCCAAGTGATGTAATGATCTTTTGCCTGCTTTCCAATGGTTTGTGTGTTGGCGGTTCTGGGGTTTTATTTCTTCCACCCTCGGTTAGAAAGCATCACTGTAGGCTCCCTTCCTGTGTGACTGGCCTTATGAACGATCCATGCAAATCCGGACCACCACTCCCTCTTCCTCTGCCTTTGAACTCCCAGCTTCCTTCCCAGAGCCCTCCTTCATCATCTCCACCCTTGTTCTTGACATCCAGGCCAATGAGTGCTTAAGAGCCTCAAGGTCAGAAAAACTTATCTTCATTCTTGGTCATGCTTCCAGCTCCTGAAATATACAAAGTAAGAGTGAATAGGTATTTGTTAAACTGAGTAGAACTCGTCAACAACCACAGAGCCCGGTGCTTTGGGTCCCACCTTCTTCTGCATCAGGGTCACCAGTTAACTTTGCCGGGGAGCCCCGTGTCATTCTCAGAGCCCAGAGGGGCCTGGCTCTGGATGACTTTTCCCATTATTTTAGCTGTTCTATTAGTTAGAATGGACTTTTTGAGGGCAGTCTAAGAGCCTAATCGTTATTTAAAATAATAATGCATTTAATGAGAACTATGTGCCTGTGCTAAGGAAGACAGTCTCAGATAATCCTGAGACCAGTCCTAAGAGATGGGTAGTGTTATCCCCTTTTTACAGATGAGTACACAGAAGCTTGGCGAGGTTAAGTCATTTGTTTAAGGTCACAGTGCTAATGGTGTGTTTCATCGATTGTGAGAAACACATTTTCTTCTCATTTTAAGATCTCTGCAGTGGATATGCATCTTATGGTCGATGGGGGTTCCAGTCCCTGTTAGCCTGCCGGGAGCAGTCAGGGGGTGATACGGCCTTTGCCTCTGTGAACCTGGACATAGTGGCACACACTGTCATCCCATCACTTCCCTTGTGTGTGTCCTTGTGACTCCATGTCTATGGATTAGTTGCAGACAGGTTGGTTTTGAAAGTAGAGTAAACATTTGAGCCCCACATGCTTGGTTGCTTTCTCCGTAACTTACTGATAAATTACACTCTTTGCGCTGAAAAGAAAAACCACTGTGAAAATTGGAGTGGCCTCATAATAGAGCAGCAGAGCGTTAGTGTGACATCAGTGAGGCAAATACTTATCACTGGAAGAATAACTGCAATTCTATATTTTCTCATGTTAGCAGTGATCAATTACCTGGAAAGGAAGATACCCACAAAACGGTGTGGCTGTGTTTGTTGTTTTGCTCTTGAGATCCTTGCAAAGCAAACATATTGCCTGTCACGTGTGAAGCATTGCAGCCGGAGGCAAGAGACATTGTCAAATCTCTTGGAACAGATAAAAGCGATGTCAGAGTAGCAAATGCTACTCTGATTCGGGGTATCTTGGGACTGTAGTTCAGGCATTGTGTCCTCATTTAAATGCAAGTGTTTTGTCACTAGTACTAAAATAATGATGCATCTTAACAATCCTTGAAGTCTTAGATTCAGAGAAATCCTTTAAGTGGCAGATCCAGTTTCAAACTCTCGCAGCCTAGCTCCAGATATTTCGCCCATACCCACTACCCTCCCAGCTTTCATCATCTTTACAGGAAAACAGTTGCGGGGTATAAAGGGGCTTACAAATCGAATTTTAGAACACAGCTTGGTTGATAGCGAGCTGATGGTTCTTTACTAAATGTTTAGTGTCGCATTTAAAGCAGAGCCTTCCCCAACTCCCACTGCTTTGTAACTTGAATTAACATTGTAATTGATCACACAGTCCATTGACCTACCAGAGACAGCAAGCTGTACTATCTCTCATTTCTTGATTGCCTAACAGGGAATTCAGGAAATGCTTCCCATCATCAGGATAATTACAACTCTTGGGATTGGTGGGAGGTATAGTCCATAGTATCCCCTCTCCCTCTTCTAGTTCAAAGCCAACTGACAGATCAACAGAGGTCTCAGACAGACGAAGACATGAAAACATGAGGATTGTGATAAAAATCAGAAGATACCGTATAGATGATGGCCAGGATAGGATTGCTAACAGTTCACCCCTGAAGTTTTCAGACTTTCCACCTGGCCTAGTGCCACAGTCAAACATCGGAAGGGGTGGGGTCCTTACTACGTGGCGAGTGTGGGAGCTGATCAAGATACACGAGCAGTTGACTCTTGAACACCACAGGTTTGAACTGAGTGGGTCCACTTACATGTGGACTATTTTTTTTTCAATAAAGACACTACAGTGCTATAAATTTATTTTCTCTTACGATTTTCTTGAGAACATTTTCTTTTCTCTAGATTACCTTATTGTAAGAATACAGTACATAAAACATGTAACATGTTCAAGGGTGAACTATATTTTGAAAACAGGCCAGTTTGGCAAAGAAAGAGAAAAGGGCGTGGTCACACACACTTGTTTCCTTCTCCATCCTGCACCAGGCTTCACTGGGGAAGGGTGAATGAGGGAGGCAGAAAGGGTACCGAGAAATGCCACTCTTCCTTCCTCCCTGGAAGCAGGGGCCACGGGAAAGAAGGTCCTCATGGAACAGCCACGAGCATCGACACCACCCAACATGGATTTCGGATTTGAGTGTTTCTCTCATTCTGGCTGGGGTCCCAATCACTGGCTGGGCGACACGGGGTTGGTGGTGAGGTTGCATGTCATTTGAACACAGCACCATCATCTCGTTTTAGAATCTTTTTTCACACTTGTCATTTAGTTGAATTGTACCCATAGGTGTCTCTGCCTCGTTCCCTGTTCGCTTCATTTAAGATACATAAGAATAATCCCTGCTCTAGCCCACGGCCAGCATGTTGCTCAGAGGAAAGCCCCAGACTTCCCACGTGGAGACTGCTGTCTTCTCAGTACCAAGGACTTTCCACAAAGGATTCGTTCAGCCCTCTGAATCATGGCAAATATCTGAAAATCTGAATATTTTACAAATATCTGAATGTTATCAACCTGTGGGTCTGAGTTTCCCCAGTAGATTTCATCATGTTGCTGTAAGTCACCATATTCTGGGTCTAACGTTTCATTTTTATTTATTTATTTATTTATTTTTAATTTTTTTTTTTTCAACGTTTATTTATTTTTGGGACAGAGAGAGACAGAGCATGAACGGGGGAGGGGCAGAGAGAGAGGGAGACACAGAATCGGAAGCAGGCTCCAGGCTCTGAGCCATCAGCCCAGAGCCCGACGCGGGGCTCGAACTCACGGACCGCGAGATCGTGACCTGGCTGAAGTCGGACGCTTAACCGACTGCGCCACCCAGGTGCCCCTAACGTTTCATTTTTAAATTAAATTAAATTTTCTCTTGTAAGCCATGGTTTCTCTATGAAGTTATTAAGGTGTTGATTAAAAAATATATGATTGCCCCCTCATAAGTAGCATTCTAACAGATGCATTTTATTTATTTCGTGTATATTTCTATTTTGTTTTTATACATTTGTCTAACTGGGGTTTGCGGGGGGGGGGGTTTGCTAACAAGGTGCTGAGTACCTAGTAGGTCCACGATGAAGTCGTATTAATGTGTTAATTACTTCAGGAGTGAATCTCAAAACAATGGGTTTTCAGAGTATAACTTCATTTGCCAGCATGGCTTTATTCTGAACGTGGGGCTGGTGGCTATTTTGCATGGTTAAGTGTCCGGCAACATAAACCACTTATACTGAAGACAAACTTAGTCCTAATATCCCTTTACCCATGGGAAATAAAAATGTACAGTCTTCTTGTAGTTATTCCTATTAGAACCCTGTATTGTCACCGACTTTGTGGGTGTGAAGAGTTGGAGTGGGAATGTAACTGGGGGAAAGTGTCCCACACTTCCCCACTGTAGGGCAGGTAATATGACTTATACCCGACTGATGGGCAGCCCCGTGGAGGGTGTCCATCCAGAGACAGAACCAGAGGATGGAAGGCTTGGCGGGAACAGCTGGGAGCCAAGCCAGGGAGCACATGTCAGATGGGAGTCCATCCAAGTTGTTCCTGGGCCTTTCTCCCCTCCATCACAATTCCCTCTCCCTTTCCACTGAGGCTGATCTCCACACTCTTCCCCCTCCTCCCCTAAATGGGTCCCCGCACGACCCCTTTCTTACTCCTCCCTTGGGACATGTTCCTTTCTCTCTTCAGTCCCTGTTACATTCATTTGCCTGCACTGTAAGCTGCTCGTTTGGATGCACGACCTTATTTGCTGCTTCACAGATGCACGGATTTGAGCTCAGGCTTTGCCAGGAACTAGCCAAGAGACCTCCCGCGAGTCCGTGTTGTCTCCATGGACCTCGGCTTTCCCACCTGGGAAACGGTCTCCAGGGACACCTCTGCCTTTGAGATGTGAACTCCACGAGAACAGAGACAGTGATAAGCGTGGCGGGGTAGAGAACAGAGACAGTGATAAGCGTGGTGGGGTAGGAGTGCGTTTCCCACTTGCAGTGATTTCCGGCCAAGGAGCAGTTCCTCAGCCTGACTCCTTCCTGTCTGCTGCAAGCTCTCCTTTCAGCGAACTTCCACTTTTCTCTTTCAGGGCTGGGAGAGGGTTCTGCCCTCCTTCATCCTGACAGCAGATCCCATCCCAGATCCTTAGAGAAAAGTGCCTGGAGGGCTTTCAAGGAATCACAGTGCCATCACATGCTCAAACATCTCCACAATGGCGCCAGGATCACTGTGCAGATGCCACCAGCGATCGAGGGCCACTGGGTGTCCACTGGGTAAGAAGGCCAGGGCTGGACCGGGCCAGGGAGGGACCAGAGAGCACAACGTCTATGGAAGGCCTCTCTTAGGGTTTCTCAGATGCACAGAGACTCTCTCCTATCTGCAATGGTGTAGGTGTTATCTAAGTTCTAACTAAAAGCCAAGCAACACTTTGAAACTCTGGTTGGTAAAGAAACAGAGCTAAGTACTGTAGAAATCTTAGCTAAAGCAGAGATGTACCACTGTTAACCAAGGGGTGTGAGTGAATGGGTCCTTGTTTACCGAAGTCTGTGGGACCACTCGTGTATGAAAAGAAACCATTAGCAAGTGAAATTAGGAGTCTGTGTTTCACCAACCCTGAAACATGACTTGCAAGGTTCTGATGGTCTAAATATTCTAGCCATATTCTGGTAATTTAATATACGGCTTCAGGGTTCTAAGAGTACGTGAAAAAGTACTCAGGCTACCTCTACTAGCCAGGGCGTAGATCTTGGACTCTTTTCCAGGTTGCAGAGCTGAGATTTATCCCAGTTTGAGCTCTGGCTTATCTTCCATTAGAGCTTTTAAAAATAGCCTAGAGGCAGACCTGCAGTTTTTCCCCTACCCATTAAATTGTTGAGAATTAACAAGACTCACTCTGGGATCTAATCACTTCTCCCTTGCAGCCTCCAGGTACCTTCGGGAGGGATCAAATGCACACAGAGAAGACAAAAAAGGAATTTTATAAGATGATGAAGACCCAGAGGTTTTATTTTTTTCTAAAGATGGGGTTTCTTAAAATAAGGAGATGGTAAATATTTGCACAGCCTGAACGCGATGTGCTTTTAATAATTTATCATTTTATTAAAAAAAAATTTATTGATTGCACAACTATTTACTGTGTGCCAAGTACTGTTCTAGATTTTGTGTACATAGCAGTGAACAAAACAAGACATGGTCCCTGTCTTCAGGAATTTTTCAAATAAACATACAAAGAAGTGCTATGAAGAGAGAAAAAAACAACAGGTGCTAAAGGGGAATACCAGGGACCTTATTTTAGGATGGGGGTGGGGTCAGGAAAGGCTACCGAAGGAGAGGACACTTGAGCTGGGATGTCGTTAGCTGTGCAAAGACCCAGGGAAGAGCTTTCCATCTGGAAGAACTAGCAAAGGCTGGGTTGGAGAAACAACTGACCCAGAATCCTTGTAGCTGAGGTGCAGTAAACCTGGGTGTCTGATCTGGGGAGAACAGCTCCAGAGGAGGCTCCTGAGGCGGACAAGGCCAGCCAGAGCACGTCTGTCCGAACTGGACTTACCATCCAAGAGGAGAACTGGAAGGTCTTTGACGAGTTTGCAGCAAAGACCATGCTTTCATACGAGGCGCCCTGGCTGAGTGGTAGAAAAGTGATGTGAGGTTGACCAATTAAAAGACGCAGCAGGTGCATCTAGCGGCGAGGAGGCCTAGGTGAGGGAGGTGGTGGGTCCGTGGAGTGTGGAGGACTTGAGATGCTCAGAGCGCCGAGCTCTGGAGCCCCCCGAGGCACACCACCACCAGTGCCCAGATGAGCAGTTAAACTGCATTTACCACTCACGCCAAAGGGAGCCTCCTTCCTAGCGGGGAGGAGCGTTACGTCTGTCTCCTTCCAAGCCTTCTCTGCAGACTCTGCCGAGTTCCTCTGAGTGCCTTCTGTGCATGCACCCTCATCGGACGTTCACTGACTGCCCTCCCCAGAGGGAGTTGCCCGCTTGGAGTAATGTTTACCTCTCTCCAGTGTGTGAGCTGAAAAAAAAAGGAAATGTTAGCAATTTTGAGAAGCACGGGCCTTTGAGATTTCAGCCCCACTGCTTGATTTAGCGATGCTGGATCTGCTCAAACCAAAATTATTATAAATAACATATAGTAAATACTATAGATATAACATGATATATGATATATTGTGTATCACATTGAGTTCTGATATTACATTGTGTGTATATATATATATGAAAATATATATATATGAAAATACTATAGATATAACATGATATATGATATATTGTGTATCACATTGAGTTCTGATATTACATTGTGTGTATATATATATATGAAAATATATATATGAAAATATATATACATATATATATATACACACACACGTATATACATATATATACATATCACAGATTGGAGCAGATTTATAAGGCCAAAACTGATGACATGTAAGGCATGATATAACTGAGAGTGGGATCTAGCAGAGGGTTACAGAGGACGGAGTCTTTGGCTCTTTGGCCGATGTGTTGAAGAAACTCTCCAGCATTTCTCTGGCGCGGGCTGTGCTACAGAGACAGGAACTGGCCACAGGTACAGCGGTGATCAGTTCCTGTGAGCCATTTGTGCCCTGTAGACCTCATCCAAGTATTTCTGGCCTAGGAATCCAGCATTTATCTAAAGCCACAGCATAAAACCATTTTGTCATTGTCATTTTGTCAGCACAGACGGAAGGGACCCTTATATCTGTTGTTATGTTAGCTTTGCTTTTTCACTAATGGACCCTTTGTTTTTCCAGGAGAGGGAAAATTAATTTTCACTAGATGGGAGGGTGAATGTGCAAGTGCCTCTAAGTGACTTCTCCCCAGACTGGATTCCATTTCAGGATGACAGACATCCAGCACCTGCCTGCTCTAGACAAGGTCCATAAAAGGGAATTGTTCAGGGAATCAACTCCTTTTGCACTAGCATAAGGATACTTCCTTCATAGGCCAGCACTATACTCTTCCCTCGTCCCACCAGAGAGGAAGACACTTCTCTGCAGTCGGGCCGCCGGGTGGAAGTGAGGCTGGCAGGATTGGGCTCTCCTGGCTTGTTCATAAAATGAATGAAAGAATGTGGTGTAGAGAGATTAGGAACACAGACCTGCAGCCAGACGGCCTGGATTCCTGGTCTGCTCCTGCTACTGGCTGGTTTTGGAGCCTGGGGCACATTCCCTAATCTCTTGTGCCTTGGTTTCCCCAGCTGTAACATGGAAACAATACTACTTTACTCAGGGGTTGTTGTGAGAATTCAATGAATTGGTGTCTCTGAAGGCAGAGAGTAATGTCCCGCCGAGTAAACGTTTGTTATCATGACCATGGTTTCTTGACAGGGTAACGAATCTGTTCCGCATGCCTTTGGGTTTTAAAATGCCTTCCTTCCCCTTTTCTCCTCCAGCTGTGAAGTGAGGTCGGGCCCAGAGTTCATCACAAGGTCCTACAGATTCTACCACAACAATACCTTCAAGGCCTACCAGTTCTATTATGGCGGCAACAGGTGCACGAGCCCCACCTACACCCTCGTCATCCGGGGCAAGGTCCGCCTGCGCCAGGCCTCCTGGATCATCCGCGGGGGCACTGAGGCTGACTACCAGCTGCACAATGTGCAGGTCGTCTGCCACACGGAGGCCGTCGCCGAGAGGCTCAGCCAGCTGGTGAACCGCACGTGCCCCGGCTTCGTGCCCGCCGGGGGCCCCTGGGTGCAGGACGTGCCCTACGACCTGTGGCGAGAAGAGAATGGCTGCGAGTGCACCAAGGCCGTGAACTTCGCCATGCACGAGCTGCAGCTCATCCGCGTGGAGAAGCAGTACCTCCAGCACAACCTGGACCGCCTGGTGGAGGAGCTCTTCCTCGGGGACATCCACACCGACGCCTCGCAGAGGATGTTCTATCGGCCGTCCAGTTACCAGCCCCCGCTGCAGAATGCCAAGGTACCCTGCAGCTGACCGCCCTCCCGGCCTGCGGGCTGTTTGTTCTTTATTAAGTAAGATGAGTGGTCCGCAGGGAGACGTGTCAGTGGGGCCCAAAGCGCCCCATGAGAGGAAGCACCCGGCGTCATGGGGGAGATGTGGAGGGCTGCACGGGGAGGCGCGCGCAGCAGAAGCAGGAGACCTGGCTGGGCCACCACCTTGCTCTGCGGCCAGGGGCTGTGGTTTTCCTGTTGACATGGGTGGTGGTAGTGGGGTTGTTGGTATGCTAGGGGTTCTTGGGGTGGTTATTCTAGAATATTTGTAAGGCTCTGTTTAGCTCTGACCCTTCAGGAATATCTTCTTTGATTCTAAGAGGAAAGCATAAAGGGAATTCGGAGATGTTATAACCACACTTGGGAGAGACAATGACAGCAATGATCCCAGCCCTGGAGGAGGCGGAGGGGTGCCTGAGGGAAAGCGACAGGGCTCTTGTAAGGCTGTGGTCTTACACCCACCCACGTTACTGCTGTCAGTCTTCACAACGACCCCTTGAGGCAGATGTCGCCACCCTATCGGGCTGAGGGGAGAGGCAGCAGAGATTCAAGGGGTTGTCTTTTGCCCCAGGTCACCCAGTTAGGGAGGTTCTGCACTGGAACTTGAACCCCGCCCTCTTTCTCCAGACCCCACATTCTTTCCATTGGACTAAGTGAAATGTAAAGTCACTGTAATCACCAGGGAGGACGGAGGGGGGCAGGAAACAATTAAAACCTTATAATGTTCTTTTCTTGAATGATAGTCCAGTAATTATATTTGGAATTCACAAAGCATTTCCTTCCCATGGGCTCAGAATCCGTGTCAGCCTGTAACATGATCGTTTCCACCGCAGAAGTTGGGGAAGCTCTAGACAGGGAGGGGGTGCAGAGAGGGTGCCAGGGGAGATTTCTCCAGTGCTCCCCTGCATCAGATTGGCTTCTGTGGAATCTTCTCTAGAACAGTGATTTTCTAAATGAGGGGCCCCATTTGACTTCTGTTTGACAGTTTACTCATTATTTTTCATCTTTTTTTTTTTTTCTTAGTCCTTTGAGTTCATTTATGACTGGTAGAGATATCCCAGAGTACTTTCCCTGCCAAAGACCACTTGGTGTTATCTTCTATTTATCTGTGTTATTGTGAGCTCCTGTAATGAAAGTCGCCTTTATTATAATTGTGGGAAATCTGCTGAGGAAGCCCACTTGGCGGAGGCTGCTTCCTCTAGATGCATCTCACCAGGGACTGTCCCCACGTGTGAGGTGAAGCCAGACGGAGGGCCCAGGGCCCCAGACCCAGCGCTCCCTGGGCTCACGGCTTGACTGTGTCCTGCCGTAAGGTGCCAGACGCACTGAGGAGGAAGAAGTGAGTTAGGGCAGTGAGGGAGAGGGTGGCCTTTCCTGCCTGTCTTCGTCCCAGTATCTGCCTGGGATCCCCCAGCACCCCTCAGGATGGGGGAGGAGCTGAGAAGCTGAAGCTCCACCCAAATGCACATCACACAAAGGCATCCAGAGGACAGTGGCACCTGGGCACGGGTGCGGTTCCTGGGGAGATTTTTAGGAGTCACGGGCTCCCAGTACCATCGTGGGACCCTTCCAGGTGGAAGTGTCATCCAGAGGCGGTGCTGAATGCTGCTGCTAAACAGCACTTCCCTCCTTTTTATTTTTAATGTTTGTTTAGTTTGAGAGAGCATGTGAGTGGGGTGGCCAGAGAGAGAGGGGAAGAGAGAGTCCCAAGCAGGCTCCATGCTGGCAGCACAGAGCCCAATGTGGGGCTCGAACTCTCAAACCGTGAGATCATTACCTGAGGTGAAGTCAAGAGTCGGATGTTTAACCAACTGAGCCACCTGCTGCCCTATGAATAGAACTGCTCTTGATATCTCTGGTGTGAGAGAGCAGCAGGGTAAGGAGCTTTCGTCCAAACATTTGGCTTTCTCTGAGTACAATCTAGCCAACTCTTCAACTGTCTATGGTAATGAGAGGTAAGAATGTAATGAATCAAAATGGCCCACAGATAATCCAGAAACGTTATGCAAGCCAAGAGCACCAACCGGGTCCCACTCTGAAGCTTTATGAAGATCTGCTATGCACAGAGAGTCCTTTTCGTGGCGTGCTCACCCACCAGCAGAGACACTGCTCAACAACAGCCAGCCAAGAGGCAGGAGCATCGAAGCAGGGAACTGAATATGGAGGAGGGAGTCCGAGGGAGGAGGCTGAATTGCTGCGGGAAGAGGCAGGTGCAGCCCTGGAGCTGCCCGAGCTGGAGTCTGGTTGCTCTGCTGTCTGCACCTGACCTTGGGCTGATAGCTTGCACACATTCAGGTTCAGATTCCTTTCCCTCAGCTTCAGATGCCTATGGAGGCTCTTTTTTAGGACTGAAAAGAAAAACAGATTTAACCATAACACCTTTCTCTTCTTACCTCTACCCCCTCACTCTGAATTTACTGTGGTACTTGTGGCATGCCTCATCAGGAGGCCTGACAGGTAAAATCAGTATTCCTAAGACTTGCAGCTCTGGAAGATTCTCTCCCACTCCTTCCCAGACCTGTAGGAGGGATTTCTCATGCTGTCAGTCGACTCACTGAACAGAGCCTGTCTGTTGGGAGGGCAAAGGCACACACTTGTGGTTCCTGGAGGAAAAATGTCTTGACTGTGAGTTATTACCATTGGCACAGGGACTAAGGATGACAGTTGTAAGGCTGACCTTAGGATTTTTGTAAACAAAAAAGTGGGAGACATGTTGTTTTTTTTTTTTGGTTTTTTTTTTTTTGTTTTTTTTTTTAACACTGTCTGGATAAATTGATGAGAATATGGACTTTGGAGGTGGTAGCCAATCCTGGAATCCTCTTCTGTGTCCGTCAGCTGCGGGGTGTTGGTTGTGTCATCTGACCTTCTGAAGCCTTAATTTTTCTTCTATAAAGTGGTAAGACTATAAGAATCGATTGGATTGGTGTGCAGAATGCTGCCCGCCATCTGGAAAGGGCCCTCCACCAATGCTCCTTTCTCCCCACTCCTGGAGGAGGTAGCCCTTCTGGGCAGGTGTCTCCTAGAGGGATGACATTGACCACGGGCCTCCAGGTGTTTGATGATGACTCACTATGAAGCATCTCCTTCCATTTTCTGCTCCCTCCCCTGCTAAGGCAATCGTGAGGACATTTACCCAGATTCTTAAGACATAGATCCTTTAAGCCCCAATCCTAATGCCCTGATTTAAGAAATTTTAAAGGTAGAAAGAACCTTGGGCATACTGTTAAGAAGAAGGAGGAGGGGGAGGGTGAAAGGGGACGGGCAAGGGGTGGAGGAAGAAGAAGTATAGAAGAGTATGAACAGTATGATACCACTGTGTAAAACTAATAATGAAGGGAGAACAAGATAAGCTTACAGAGGGGGCAGTATTTCTGGAAGGGGACGTGAGAAACAAAATGATTGTCTCCGGGGAAGGGAACAGTTGGAGGACAGTTGGACGGAGCCTCAACACCGTATACCTTTTTGTACCTTTTGCAGTTTGTGCCATGAACCCGTATTATCTAAACAGAATCACCATGCAAACTTTCAATGAATTAGGAAAGTTAGGACCCTGAGGCTCAGAGGAGTGCAGTGGCCACAGCTAAAGATGGCGGCAGGGCTGGGAGGAGGACCCAGGCAGGCGTCCAGGGCCGATGCGCCCTGTCCACCGCCTCGACTGCCAGCCCGCGTGGCCAGGGGCGTCCTTCGAAGGCCAGTGAGGCCTGTGTGGCTCTGGGAGCTGAAAGGGCCCATTCTTCTCTTGTTGTCCCTGGCGTTGAACGTCTTGGCCTGCAGCATGCCGCCAGGTCCTCAGGAAGTTTTTAGATCCTTCCCCAGGACAGCTACGAGAAGAATAAACGGACTTGGCCATTGGTGCCTTTCCAGACTCGGTGCAGGCAAAGCCCCAGGTGCTCCCTGCCTGCTGGCCAGTGGCGGGTCGCCTCACCCGCTGGGAACGGGAAGGAGAAGGGCTGGGAGCACATCCGGAGAGACCGCACTCCCCCTGCCACCCGCCTCTTTGAACTCTTTGCCTCCCCCTAATTGCCGGTCCGTAGAGACCTGGCTGAAAATTAGTTTAAATGCTAAATTGAGTTTGAAACCACTAGTCTCAGCCCCTCTGGAAACGGGACACCGTGTAAAAATAGAAACTTTAAATCAACTTGTTTTTCTAAGCTTTATACAGCTTTGCTGTGAGGTTCAGAACCCTTTGGCAAATACATTGCCTTTGAAGAGAATCAGGTGTGCCGGGAGGATTCTTTCAGGATGAAATTGGCTACCCTTCGCTACGAAAAATCAGGACTGCATAAAATAACCCCGAAAGAAGAGGCTTTGCCTGAACTGAGCTTAACATCAGGGCAGCTGTCACCCTCTGCCTAGATTTTTTTGTGCAGTTGAAGGGTTAGCCAGCCGAATTCTTTCAGTGGTAGAATCAAATAGTAATTAAAAGCAAATGATTGCCCGGGAAACGCCAGAGCCTCAGGATCAGACTTGTAAGCAAATGGAATTGGTCTTTCGCCAAAATCCTGCACTGATTTAGCCACAGGGTCGTAAATCAAAGGGGTTGTCTGAAACCAGACAACTTTCCGCAAGCCGTGTATCTCAAGTATTCTGCCCCAGCACATGCATAGCACATCGGAGGAGGACAAGCACCGAAGTGTTTTAAAGAGTAGCTGAGGACTGAAAAGGAAGAAGGAAATACTCATGGGCTTTCTGTCCTGAATTCTGTAGAAACTTCGAGACTGTGAACGAGCATTCGGTTTTGAGGGAGCTTGCTTTTCCAAGCCTTTTCAGAGTATGTGAGAAATACAGAGACTTTCTGCTATCTATGACATCAGAGAGACTGTGGACCAGGGCCGTGGGCAGCACACTTCTCGGGCCAGCTCCGGGAGATGGCTGTGCCGTGGGAAGTGGCTCCTCCTTAGGCGTGTGCTTGGCGGGGACCCCGGACGGGTGGGTAAGTGGGTGTCACGGAACTAACAGTAGAGGGAG